AACAGGAGTAGGGACTTGGTTGGAAGCGGAGGCTAAGAAAGTGTCTTGTAGCGGGGTTTGCTTAGGGAGCATAATTTTATTTGAGATGCCTTGGGGAGGGCTGATGGGAATTACAGGGTGTGGGTGACATGCGGAGCTGCCAGTGCTTGGAGTCAGTTTATTTGGGTCTAACTTTGCCTCTGCTGTGTGACTGTAGGCAAGATTCTCAACCTCCTGAAGTCTTTGTAGCTGTGACACAGTGATCTCCATGAACACAGTAATTCTTGTTCCACATACGGGGCCCTTAGGACCTGTTACAGTGCCTGTGACACAGGACAGCCTAAAATTTTTTTCAATGAACAAAACAACTCGTGAATAATCTACGAAAGTACCTAGAACAGTACCTGAATGATGCCCAATAAATGTAAAAAGTCACAGAATAACCCATTGACCCAGTAATATATATATTTGATAATATGTCCCTCAAGAAAATCATCCACGTAAAAGTAACATATATGTATACATACACATATAATATTATATATATACATTGACATATACATACATACATATGTAGTTAATTATAAAATACTGGAACTAACTCAAAGACTGTGCTAACAATGAAAAATAGCTGTGCAATTATGAATTCTTGAAACAATGGAAATCTATTTATCTAAAACCTGGCAAGTGTATAGATTGTGTTGAAATAAAAAAAAACATACATATGTAGTTAATTATAAAATACTGGAACTAACTCAAAGACTGTGCTAACAATGAAGAATAGCTGTGCAATTATGAATTCTTGAAACAATGGAAATCTATTTATCTAAAACCTGGCAAGTGTATAGATTGTGTTGAAATAAAAAAATTTTTAAATCTGAATAAATGTTTAGAAGATATATACAAGTGTATACTTGTTAGAGAATAAAAACTGAGTAAGAATTTGGAGTAATAAAGTTTAGAGATGGTTATGCTTTTTTTCTATTAAGTTGCTTAACATTTTCTGAATTGTTCCCATTTTACCCCCAAGAAAAATAAATGAAAATGAAGCACCCAGCCTTGCTTGCCAGTTGGGAATCTCCCCATGGGTTTACCTGTCCTAAGCAAGGCCTGCTCTGGCTGTGATGTCCCTGCTAGGCTGTGGAGGAGTCGCTTGGAGAGGGTGCTGGCCAGAGTTGAGCATAATGACTTCTTGGTCATCTAAATGTGACAGATTCATGGCAGAATCAATTTCCTTTATGGGCGAATTGGCTGGCTGCTGCCAGTTCAGATCCTTTGTCCAAAGCTGTTTGAGGAAGATGCCATTTAGGTGTATGCTCTGAATTGACAGGCCATCCCTGGCTGATGGCTGCCATGGTTCGTATTTCTGAAAAAAGACAGCTGAGGATTTCATCAGCATTTTGAAATAAGACATCCCCACCAAAACCCATCTAATCCAAACCCTGAAATAATAATAATTATTATTCACCATAGTTTTATATTATGTTGTATCATTCTAAAGGAGCTTTCTCACAAAGCAAGCAAGAGACAATTTCCAAATGTTCAAAGGATTGTGAAAGTACAAGCACAAACTATTGCCATATTGTTTTCATTTCCACCTGATCCTTACAAGCTCCCTGTGAAAAAGGTAGGGCAGATCTTATTTCAGTTTTACAAATGAGGGATAAGCACAGGAAGACCAACCGTTCCATCAGAGTGTGATGATTGCTATGTCGAATGCGCATGGAGGGTATTACGGGAACACAGCAGGGGGCATCTGACCCAGCGGGGGCAGGGGAGTGGCGGAGGTCCAGGAAGACTTTGAAGAGGGGGTGGAAGTCACGGGCTGAGTGAAGGGCAAGTCTTTCTGGGCAGCTAGAGCAGCAGGAGGGTGTCTGTGGAAGGCGTCCTCGAGAAGGGTGGGTGTCTGTTATACCCATTAGAATTGAGGCCGAAGTCAGACTAGGGTTTCCTACTGGACAGCCCTCAGTTCTCCCGAAGAGGAATTGGACTAGGACTCTGCCTTCCCGAAGCCCTCTTTTGTCTGCCTTGGCTCCTTTGCCAGAGTAAGGCCCAGTATGAAGCCTCCCTTTCCACCTCGGTCTTTCTGTGTGTGAATCATGCAGGCCTGTTGAAGGCGCCCTTTCTGTGAAAACGGTGGAAAGAGGAGATAGGGCAAGAGCAGTCGAGTTATTGAGACCCACCTGAGAGATTCTGGGATTAGGATTCGTCAATTCCAGTTTGATTCAAGCTCTGAGAGGAACTCAGTGTCATCAAGACGCTATCTGAAGACACTCGTGGTAACTCTTCCGAAGGGAAAGACATACCCTTGGGGAACCCCTGCCAGTTAGCCACTTGTGAAATTCCACTGAAAACCCACTTTTATTTTTCTCCTAGAAACCCTTTTAGGGAGAATTTCTCTCTTTAGGAGAAATTCCACTGAAATCAAGCCCATCAATCTTACACACTACAGTGTGACCCACATTGGCTCTGTGGTGACATGTGTGATGCACTCTGAAGACTATCTGTCATGTCTATATAGGGTAGTGCTCTAGCCTGGACTGGAGCACCGCCCCTCCTCCTCCTCCAGCTCCATATTTAGCCATCTGCTGGAGGCTGCGCCTGTCGGCAAGGTTGTCATCCATCTGTACAGCTGCAGAATAACGCGGTGCTTTATGTTCTCCTATTCTCTGTGACAGGTGATAAAGGTTTCCCCTTTGGCTTCAGTTTTAATAGAACCACCAAGAAAGCTAATCTTGTCTAACTACTTTTCAGTTTGGGAAACTGAGGCCCTGAGAGCTGACTTGATGTCAGAACTGGCTGGTGCATGAAGGCCACTTGATTGAACAGAGAGCCCTTTTCTCCAATCTGACTCTTTGGAGCTCTCTGGGTGGCAAAGCTCAGACAGGAATTTCTTTGTTCACATATCATAGTTTTATTTTTATGCTATAAGAAGAAATCTCTCTCTCTCTCTCTCTCTCTTTTTTTGGCAGCAGGGTGGTATGGCGATCCGATCCCTTTTTTTGTGTGGTCATGGATGGGTATAATATACACAGAACACCCCTTTGCTGGAGAAATCTCATTAGTGCTACTTCAGATTCCCCACTTTTAATTGATAATTATTATCATCATATTTAGTTGTTAATAAGGGTGGCTTATTGTGTGTTTACTATGTATATGTATATAGTATTTTTTTATTATGTGCTATGCTAAGGATTTTATACATCTAGGAACACTTAATATTCTCAAAAACCCTGTAATCCTGTGATGTAGATGTTATTACATTGATTTTACAAACTGAGGCTTAGGGGACTTAAGAAACTCTTCTACAGCCATCACACAAATAGTCAGTTGGGCAGACGGGATTCAATTCCAGGTCCACCTGACTTTAAAGCCCATGCTTTTAACAATTATGGCTCATTGACTTCCTTTTGTAGATATTCACTCAGGAAATTTGGCTTTAGTTCAATCAATTTATTAGAAAGATTTCATTTAAATAACCCAGGTCCACCTGACTTTAAAGCCCATGCTTTTAACAATTATGGCTCATTGACTTCCTTTTGCAGATATTCACTCAGGAAATTTGGCTTTAGTTCAATCAATTTATTAGAAAGATTTCATTTAAATAACCAAAGGCCTGACACATGCACATTTTTCCTAATTCTGGTCCTGCTACACTGAGGTCAAAATAAAACTTAAAAAGGTCATAAGAGGTCTTGGCTCTGGACTAAGTCACAAATATATATATTTAAGTTGTCCTTAGGTCTAAGGAGCTAAAGTCTAACTAAGCCCCTATGGACCCCTTCCTCAAAGGTCTGGTGACAAATAGGTGTCTAGGACTGTGCATGAGAATGATCCAGCTTGAATCATCAGGTAAAGTCCAGCTGAACATAGGACATTCAATAATTGGTATTTTAAATAAATAGTGAAAATAGATAACATGTTGGCTCCCCGTAGTTTCCATGTGCCAGGTTCTGTGCTAAGCTAGACTCTGTACATCCTGAATGCTTACAATCATTGCATGAAGAAAGTGCTTTCTTATTCTCATTTTTATGAGGAAACCAAGACTCAGAGAGGTTAAGTAACTTGGCCCAGGCCACCCAGCTTGTGTGTGTTTTAAAAAAAGAATATGTGAAAATCACGTGAATTATTTATTTGACTATCTCATTTTCAAAGGCTATTATGTATAATTAAACAGAGACTGTGGGTTGACAAGGATAAAAGTGTCTTGGAAAGCAACATTAGGATTTAGAGGAGTGATTTTTAAAAATTATGTCTTGAAGCAGACCTGCAGGTCTGCTATATATTGCTTTATATGTGACATGCCAGGAAGATTGCCAACAGGGAAGGTATAAGCCCAGATTGCATTAATAATCTTTACTATGAATTTTGGTCTGAAAGACATTTCCTTCATCTGAAGCTGGGCTGGCTTTGTGATAATGTGCTGCATAGATGGGACATGGTCTCCAAGGTTAAGCTCATTGCCTGGAGCTCCCTCAACTGCAATGAATGAGAATTTACTTGGCCCTTTCATGAAATTCAGATTCTGACATATTTATGCAGTCCTGTTTAAGTGACATGCACCAAATATGGTTGCTTTCAAGCAAGTTATTTTGTTTAACCAGAGGCCTAGCAGAGTTCCTAACACACAGGTGGCCATCCAAAAATGTTGAAAGAAATAAATAACTTAAGCCTCACAACATCTCTGAAAAGTGGTTCCTACATTTATCAGAGTCTTGCAGATGTGTAAGTGGAGGCTTGAAGTTGAAGCAACGTGCTCAAAGCCATGCTGTTGTGTAGGTAGTGGAGCCTGATTTCAGATGCAGAAAACTCCAAGGCCAGTCTGTTACAACTGTAGCCAGTTTTTGGAAAAACTTCAAGGGATAAACCACAGCAAATTTTTAGAGTTCTGGTGATTTCTTTTCTCCTACCTCAACACGAATTCTCAAATTCTCGCATAAACCAGAGACTGGGTGATTAATCAGTAATTGAGGGGAAAGGCACATAGTACCTGATGCTCATTACATTTCTCTTTCTTGCAGGTTCCGAAGTGTCTGGAATCCATTAGAAACTGAAGCCACGGAGAGCCCTCTCAGCAGCCTTCCCCTCTTTTTGGAACAGAAACCCACAGAGAGTTGTTTGAAAACGTCTCATTCACACACCAGGTTGCTATTGAGGTCTTTTTCATGTTGCGATCAGAGCAGTTGCTTGTGTTTTTATCACTAGGCTGATTTTAGAGATAACATCACCTTCTGCTTCTTGACCAGGAGGCATTGTGGGTACATGTGTCGGGGGATGACAGAGCTTTGCTGGGGGGAAGAGTGGGGTGGGACAATTGGGGTGGGACAGCCACACTGAGACAAGCCCCACATTTAATCAGCTCACCAATGAGGAAGCTCTCCATCATTAAAAAAGTGAAAAAGACTCAATTTTCCCCCCTTCTCTTTCTGTTCCAGTTGAAGGCGAGGCTTTGGAGGTTTTCAGAGTTAATGGTGTGCCTCCCTTGGATGGACAGTGAGGACTAACGTTCCACAGATTGCCGTTGGAGGACCTGAGAACACAAACCTTTCTGGTCTGCATTCCCCTCACTGAATGGCGTTTGCAGCAGCAGCACACTGAGGGATCTTTTCCTTGGGGTTCTGGACTTGGAAGTCGGATAACCAGGCTGGGAAGATGCTCAGTTCCATCAAGTGCGTGTTGGTGGGTGACTCTGCTGTGGGGAAAACCTCTCTGTTGGTGCGCTTTACCTCGGAGACCTTCCCGGAGGCCTACAAGCCCACGGTGTATGAGAACACGGGCGTGGATGTCTTCATGGACGGCATCCAGATCAGCCTGGGCCTCTGGGACACTGCTGGCAATGACGCCTTCAGAAGCATTCGCCCCTTGTCCTACCAGCAGGCAGATGTGGTGCTGATGTGCTACTCTGTGGCCAACCATAACTCCTTCCTGAACTTGAAGAACAAGTGGATTGGTGAGATCAGGAGCAACTTGCCCTGTACCCCCGTGCTGGTGGTGGCCACCCAGACTGACCAGCGGGAGATGGGGCCCCACAGGGCCTCCTGCATCAATGCCATCGAAGGGAAGAGACTGGCCCAGGATGTGAGAGCCAAGGGCTACCTGGAGTGCTCAGCCCTTAGCAACCGGGGGGTACAGCAGGTATTTGAGTGTGCCGTCCGAACTGCCGTGAACCAGGCCAGGAGACGAAACAGAAGGAGGCTCTTCTCCATTAATGAATGCAAGATCTTCTAAACCCAAGAGACTTCACCCAGCTCTCATGTATGCACCCCAAAGACTAAAGGGAAGAGAGAGAGCGTGCATGCTGGGAAGGGTTGGTGCTCTTTCTGGGTACATCCAGAGCAGAGTTTCCTTTTGGATACAGTTATTGATGAGACTTGGCCATTGGATGTCTTTACTAACTACATTCTACAAACGAACACCTTGCCCAGTCCAGTTACGAAATCCTTTGGGAAGCTGTCGTGACTATTCCATCTTCGATTAAAAGACTAAAATGGTCTCTGTAATTTTGGACGATTAAGTGAATTTTCCAAAGAATGCCATATTTAAAGACACATTTTATTTAAATAGTAACAAAATTTATAGCTCCTGTATATAATTAGTTTTCACACTTAGAAAGTCTTTCCTACAAAATTGCAAACACAAACTGCTGTATAAATGAAATAACCTTATGGAGCTCTACCTTATGATTGTAGTGTTATTATTTTTGCCTGAATTACAAATTTTGTTGAAACCACTTGCCTGCTGGATTTTACTAGGTAATCAAATTTTAAAACAACATAAACTGATCCTTGCAATTCATTTTCCAATCTACTTGTTATTCAGAGTTGTATATAAAATACCATCTCGTAATATATTTTAATACTGCCTAATGATTTGAAAGTTATCACTATATTTCTCTGTAAGTATTAAAAATATTTATGTATGATATTACTGTTCACTCAAAGAACTCCAGTTAGGCTCTAAGTATTCCTTTCTCGTTCACCAAGACAGGCGGAAGGAAAACCTTTCAGGTAGAGAATCAGACTACTCCAAGGGCTAGCAGTAGAACTAGGAGCAGAGCAAGGAGGTCTCACTTTCATTTCAGGAACTGCGAGCACTGTGCTTTATCTGCTTCTTCTTTTTTTTTTTTTTCCTGACCGGTGATGGGATCGCAACCCTCGGTGTCGCGCCCGCACCTCGCTCAGCCAGTGAGCGGGAACCGGTCTCCACATGGGATCCGACTTCTAAACCCAAGAGACTTCACCCAGCTCTCATGTATGCACCCCAAAGACTAAAGGGAAGAGAGAGAGCGTGCATGCTGGGAAGGGTTGGTGCTCTTTCTGGGTACATCCAGAGCAGAGTTTCCTTTTGGATACAGTTATTGATGAGACTTGGCCATTGGATGTCTTTACTAACTACATTCTACAAACGAACACCTTGCCCAGTCCAGTTACGAAATCCTTTGGGAAGCTGTCGTGACTATTCCATCTTCGATTAAAAGACTAAAATGGTCTCTGTAATTTTGGACGATTAAGTGAATTTTCCAAAGAATGCCATATTTAAAGACACATTTTATTTAAATAGTAACAAAATTTATAGCTCCTGTATATAATTAGTTTTCACACTTAGAAAGTCTTTCCTACAAAATTGCAAACACAAACTGCTGTATAAATGAAATAACCTTATGGAGCTCTACCTTATGATTGTAGTGTTATTATTTTTGCCTGAATTACAAATTTTGTTGAAACCACTTGCCTGCTGGATTTTACTAGGTAATCAAATTTTAAAACAACATAAACTGATCCTTGCAATTCATTTTCCAATCTACTTGTTATTCAGAGTTGTATATAAAATACCATCTCGTAATATATTTTAATACTGCCTAATGATTTGAAAGTTATCACTATATTTCTCTGTAAGTATTAAAAATATTTATGTATGATATTACTGTTCACTCAAAGAACTCCAGTTAGGCTCTAAGTATTCCTTTCTCGTTCACCAAGACAGGCGGAAGGAAAACCTTTCAGGTAGAGAATCAGACTACTCCAAGGGCTAGCAGTAGAACTAGGAGCAGAGCAAGGAGGTCTCACTTTCATTTCAGGAACTGCGAGCACTGTGCTTTATCTGCTTCTTCTTTTTTTTTTTTTCCTGACCGGTGATGGGATCGCAACCCTCGGTGTCGCGCCCGCACCTCGCTCAGCCAGTGAGCGGGAACCGGTCTCCACATGGGATCTGAACCCTCGGCGGGAGCGCCACCGCACTCCCAAGCGGCGCACTCTCCAGTGCGCCACCCGGCCGGCCCTACCTGCTTCTTCTGATACAGTGATTTCTACCTGGTTGCAGGTCTTAGGAAAGAGAGCAGGCTCGAAGTTCTGTGTGATGGTAAATTTGACAAATTTGTTTTCATTCAAGTTATAAACTGAGCTGGCATGACAACATAAATTATTAATTTTAGGATCTAATCAGAATAATTGGGAAGGTTTCTCAATATAGTTGTGCGTGTAAGAGAAAAGAGTAGAACTGATGGCTTTTACGATTTCATGAATATGAAGCACCCCAGTGAAAAAAAAATCACAAATTCAAAGCTCAGGGAATAGGAAAGCTGTATAGTAATTACTCAGATAACAAAAAGTTATCGGGAAATACTAGTGCTGAATAAATAGGGGCACACACCCACACATCTCTCAAATCCCATTTTGTCTAATAGCTTAAAAGCTATGTTGCTCATCTGTTAAAGTTGAGAACAGAGGAGAGGACTATATAACTTGAGGAAGAAATTGCAAAGGCGGCACCCAGATACATCCTTTACTGCCCTAATCAAATAAAACTTAGAACCACTTGAACCACATTTATGAAAGTGTCCTATCGTTATGGTGGAACGTGGCCAGTCCACATGAAAGCTGGCATAAATGACTATGATTAGAATTATGTTGACAAAACCAAACCATCTTTTCAGTTTCCATGCGTGGTCAAGTCTTTATAGCTATAATCAGTGTCAAAAGCCAAATCTGTGCTCATCCCCACACTGCTTTCTCCTTCTCCTCTGTCTCCCTTCATCCACATCCAGTAAAAGGCCTTGATTTTAGTCTTTGTTGGGGTTGGTGGGGGGAGCATTGCGTCCATTCCCTGGGGCTGACAGATCTCCCTTCACCATCTCCCTTCATCTCAGCCCTCCAGTACTGTGGCTTGTCCTCTCCTCTGTGTCACCCGTGTCCCTTGACTTGAAGTCCCCTATCTCCAGCTCTCTGCTTTGGGTGTCCTGAGGGTTGGAGGGCTTGAAAGCTGACAAGGCAGGGGAGCAGATGGGAGCTCATATCCTCTGACATCTCTGTGATCCGCTTCCTCTCCCCCAACACACAGTCTTCAATAACTAATGCAGATATTTATGGCCAGACTTCACAGTTGGGTGGTTTGAAAGCTGACAAGGCAGGGGAGCAGATGGGAGCTCATATCCTCTGACATCTCTGTGATCCACTTCCTCTCCCCCAACACACAGTCTTCAATAACTAATGCAGATATTTATGGCCAGACTTCACAGTTGGGTGGTGTGGATTTAACATGTTAGTAGGAATGAATTTCTATTACTAAAATTAGGTGCCCCCCCCCCAAGCTTTTCTTTCCTTCTTTTTGAAGGGAGATGGGGGGAGGGGGTATACCTGAAAGTAGGAGGGGCCCAGGTACCTGATCCTAAACTGAGGAAGAGGAGGTGGTCCCATGGCAGGAGAGGAGGAAGGGAAAGCCAGAGAGTACACAAATGGCTTTGCTGTCACCTGAGCAAGGCTACACAGATGAGACCTCTGTCTGTTGGCAAGAGCCAAGCTTAGAGGCTCCCTCTGGGAACCCTCACACCTGAGACCAGGAATCTATGTGTAAACCCTCCCCAGTGATGGGAACTGGCAGAAAGTGAGCCACTCAGTGCCATCTGTCCTGCTCGACTGTGTGTCCTTGAAGGCAGTGCCTCCTCCTATTCGTCTCAGTGTCCCCAGGGCCCAGCACAGGAAAAGAACTGTTGCCAGACAACATTGTGTTGGATTGAATTGGAGAGAGAGAGACAGGAATTGGGCTTCTGTGCTGCAGAGTGGTTATGGGAAGGAAGCAGATACTCGCCAGCCTTGCAGGGGTAATACATGAAAACAGGTCATCTTGGTGGAATCCATGTAATGTATGTTTTACGTGAGCATGTATTTATCCTTGCCTGCCTAGACACAGACATAGGTTTCTTACACTCCAAAACCTGTGGTACCTTTTTGTAGACTATTGTATGTCTATTCTTAACTATTCCAAGTAGCAACATTAAATACATTCTTGTTTACATTAAAGAGTTGATTTGAGTGGTTGAGTAATTCATCCTTGTCTTAGTCAGCCTGGTCTGCTATAATGGAATAGACTTGAGTGGCTTAAACCAGAGAAATTTATTTCTCACAGTTCTGAGGCTGGGAAGTCTGAGATCAGGGTGCCAGCATGGTTAATTTCTGGTGAGGGCCCTCTGCCTGGTTTGTGGATGGCTGTCTCCTTGCTGTGTCCTCACATGGGGCGGGGGAGAGAGAGAGAGAAGAGAGATCATCTCTCCCATGTCTCTTCTTATAATAGCACTAATCCCATTTATGATAGCTCCACCTTCATGACTTAATTACCTCCCAAAATCCCCACCTCCAAATACCATCTCATTGGGAATTAGGCTTCAACATTTCAAAAATCTGGGGGAGACACAAATACTCTGTCCATAGCAATCCTACTCTGTCTTACTTTATACTGATAGTTAAATGGGCAGCAGAATCTAGTGTGATGAAATTAGGCTGCTAACAAGAAAGCTGAAAGCATCCTAATGGTTAAAGTTTGTTGTGTGCTTCAGATGTACCAGGCACCATATTAAGCTCTTGAATGTGCATTATCGCATTACCTGACCACATGGTGAGCAGGTGACTCTCATAATTAGTCCCATCTTACACCAAGAAACTGAGGTTCGGCATGCTAATGTGACAAGTCCAAGGCCATATAGCAGGTGAGTGGCAGTGCCGGGAGTCTCAAGCAGGTCTGTGTGACTCCAAAGCTCTGCTTAAAACCACTGTGCCCCACTTCCTCCCAGAGCAGCCTGACTCAATGGCTTTGCCACATCCGACCTCATGTAGTTTGCAGGCCCCATCCCCACCAGTCAGGTGGCCTGCATTTAAAAAAATATTTTTGAATAATATTCCAAGTCTGATCTTAGTCCTCCCCTTTTATTTTTCCTTCTGGCAATGAGAACAAGACTTGCCTAAGTCACAGAGCACATCATTTGAAAAGGCCCCTACTCCAACCCTTGTTTTTTTTTTGTCTTTTTTCGTGACCGGCAACGGATCGCAACCCTCAGTGTCGCGCCTGTACCGGCCCGGGACCGGCAACGGGATCGCAACCCTCGGCGTTGCACTCGCACCTCGCTCAGCCAGTGAGCGGGAACCAGTCTGTATGTGGGATCCGAACCCTCGGCGGGAGCGCCGCTGCGCTCTCAAGTGGCGCACTGTAGCAGTGCGCCACTGGGCCGGCCCCTTTTTTTTTAAAGATGACCAGTAAGGGGATCTTAAACCTTGACTTGGTGTTACCAGCACCACACTCCTACCAAGTGAGCCACAGGCCGGCCCCCAACCCTTGGTTTTTAAGTATAATTTCATAGGTTGATTTCGTGTGAATTGGCAGAGATGAAATACATCATGAATTTGATG